TGCTCCAACTTGAGAGATAGGATAGTTTTTATCGCGATGAGTAACCCTCAATATTTTTTAAAGATTTTTAAAGTACACAAGGTCGCCAGAATGGGCAGAACAAAATCTAATGATAAACGAAGTAAGTTATAAATGGCTATAGTTTAGCCCATGGATTATTTTTTTACAAGGCTACACAGTCCCCCTGATGATAAGTACGTATTACCTATATTAATATGGTCCATATACACCTATTTTTATCGTTGATTAAGAATCAAAACGCAGATGCGTTGTTAACACTGAATACTACAACAGAATGCATCGTTAGCTTGTTATTTTTTTCTTTCTTTTTTGTTACCTCCACACAACAATTTTCTCCTGGACATGGACAAATATCCAGACCGGGGACAATTATTTTTAGGCCATATAAATACTTGCGCCGTGCGGGATTCGAACCTGCGTGCCTTAGCACTCAACTCATTGCTAAGCCACAGCGCCACGGAGCCTACGTGCTTGTAAATAGAGTCAACAATTCTCATCACTAACAACAGTTCTAAGCAGTAATTCATGGCAATCATGTTTGTCTTGCTTTGGTACCTATCGAACAACGATGATGATAAAACTTTAAAGAGTTCGCCTTGATTTAAAACTATAGATAAAATTATTGCGTATATACTTTTAGAAGTTAATATTATAAGTTACTCTGCAAAAATAAATCCCCAATAAGCAAAAATAAAGTAATAAGACCGCAATAACTACCTAAAATAATGACCCTGTAATGAAAATGTTAGCATTCGTTGAATGTCATACCATTCAATATAAAACGTATTACGACAAATCACGTATATACGCTCATAACAACTTTCACGCGTATATTAATTGAATGATTGTACTAACATTAAAATGTTCTGGAAACTCGTAAGAACTACCAGGGGACATTCACAACAGCCTAGAATGAATGCTATACGAGACCAGAATGGCTGTATTCTGAATGACGAAGTTTTGAGTTTAAGGAGATGGAAGGAATACTTTGAAAGCGTGTTTATGAGTGATGAGACGTTTGAATTAAATGAAATAGAAATTCCGATAGAAGAGGAAATAGATAGAGATATAAGTATAGATGAAATAATGAAAGCAATGAAAAGTATGAAAGTAGGTAAGGCAGCTGGTTATGATAGAGTATCTCTCGAAATGCTAAGGGCTGGAGAAGGAGTGGTGGCAGACCTGCTGTACACCTTGTTTAATTTATGTTGGGAACTTAAGCGGGTACCGGGAGACTGGTGCAAAGCCGTGATAGTCCCAATATATAAGGGAAAAGGATCACAGCAGGACTGTAAAAACTACCGTGGTATCAGCCTTCTTAGCATTGTGGGAAAACTGTATGCTAAGGTACTAATTGAAAGAGTTATGAAAGAAACTGACGGAAAAATTTGGGATGTGCAAGCGGGATTTAGAAAGGGAATGGGATGTACGGATCAGGTCTTTTCCATGCGCATGATCGCCGAGAAGTTTTTGGCCAAAAACCAAAAAGTTTTTTGTGCGTTCATGGACTTGGAGAAGGCTTATGACAGAGTGGACAGGGATGTGTTATGGCAAACACTGAACTCATTTGGGTTGAGCGCTGGTCTGATACAGGCATTGAAGTCTCTATATAGGGACTCTAGTGCTTGTGTCAGGATCAACGGGGCCTACTCGGACTGGTTTGACATCCATAAAGGTGTCAGACAGGGCTGTGTGGCTTCCCCGTGGTTGTTCAACCTGTTTATGGACAGTTGTTTGGAAAATTTGAAAGTAGAAGAATGCGGGTTAAGAATGGGTGAGTTAACCGTCAAATGCCTTTTGTACGCCGATGATCAAGTCATACTTGCGTCGTCGGCAGCCGAGTTGCAAATGATGGTTACATTAATGAACAGGACATTAAAAGAAAAGGGAATGAAAGTGAACGCAAGTAAGACGAAAGTTATGGTTTTTGAAAGAGAAGAAAGTAAAACGATATGTGAAATAAGAATAGAAGGGGAGTTGGTAGAGCAAGTAGATGAGTTTGTATATTTGGGATGTGTGTTTAGCAGGGATGGTAGATATGATAAGGATATAGAACGACGAGTGAATGCAGGAAATAGAGTGAATGGGGCTCTACACTCTATTGTGAAAAGTCAGAATGTGTCCAAAAAGGCACGTATGGCAATTCACAATGCTGTGTTAGTACCTACTTTAATGTATGGTAGTGAAAGTTGGGTGTGGCAGAAGAAGCATGAGAGTAGAATAAATGCTGTAGAAATGCGGTCATTAAGGAGTATGTTAGGGATGAAGCTGAATGACAGAGTGAGAAATTGTTTAATAAGAGAAGAGTGTGGTTTGCAAGATGATGTTGTGACCAGGATTAAGAAAGGAATGCTTCGGTGGTTTGGCCATGTAGAAAGAATGAATGAGGAAAGAGTGACAAAGCAAATTTATGTTGCAGAGGTGAACGGCATAGTCGGGAAGGGTCGCCCTAGGCGAAAGTTTATCGACCAAATTGGCGATATATTAAAAATGGGCCAAATCAAGAGTACCTTTAACCGACGAGCGTGTATGCGTAGGTATATGGATGTGGAGGAAGCGAGAGAGGTGTGTCAGGATCGTGCCAAATGGAAGTCCATAATCTCTGCCTACCCCTCTGGGTGACAGGCGTGAGTGTTTATGTTTTTTATGTATGTTTTGATTGTACTAATTACTTCGTTTAAGGGAAAATAACAAATACATTACATTAAAAGTAAACACTTTCTACGTGGTAGAGCCATGCTGCAGCTATATTAATAGTATAGTTGTAGCACGAATGGGTCGGCTCGACCGGGGAACTACCACGCTCTCACAGAATACCAGCGTAAAATAACAGCTTAACGCTGCTGTGTTTCGTATGGTGAGTGTAGAGAACCGGAGACCCTTTTCACTGGCAAAGAGGCATTCCATCTTAGTCCTCACGGGTTACAACGCATCTGCATCTTGTGTCTTTATTGAGGATAGATATAGATCTCTATGGGTCACAGTAACCACTTACTATCAGGTGGACTTTGTGCTCGTTTGTCACTCTATCCTATAAAAAAAACCATAAAAAAAAAACAAAAAAAACTAATATTTTTTTATCAATTTTCTGTTTCACTGGAAATAAAATATCGATTTGCTTGTTATGTCTTAACATTGAAAAATTGTTTGTCAAAATATATACAATATTAAAAAATTATAATTAAAAAAAATTTAAAGCTAATAACTTAATTAGCATACACTCCTACTCGCTGTGGTATCGTGCCAAGAGCGCTGGCTGCGTTTCCTCGCTGAATGGCTATACTTAAACTTTGAGCGAAAATAGAACTAGCCCTCTTAACACCACCAGGAACGAACAGTTGCGGATGGAGTTCCTTTAGAAACTTCATCGCACGTGGACCCCATGGACCGATAGTATCTACAGCAAACAGCAAATGGCACTATTATGTAGTCATCTCTCACTTTTTTTCACTTTGACTCATATTTGCGTCACTTATTCATTATTCAGTTCAGCTATCAGTTCAGTTCAGTATTATTAAAAAAATATTGCAGTTTTCTTTTTCCTGGCCTTGATTAGCCCTTAAAATTCTACGGCTAAAGATAGGTCTCTCACATTGAAAGGATTTGCTTTAATATTCACGCTTGACAGATGGATTGACGGCCACAATATCTTTGACACTCCTCCTCGTAGCTGATCTAAGTATTTTACGCCTGGCATAAATAGATGATTATACTGCCATCTGACGAAAGCCATAACATCGTTCTGGCATTTCTCACAGTGACCACTCACGACCCCCACAGTATAAAATAGGGTAATGGACTCTTACTTACTCTTCCACCACACGTTTATGAATTGACACTATTATTATTTTACTCATGAATAGTGTGGCGGCGCTGTCGTCGCGCCACAAGCGAAACATTATCGAAGCCTAAAACGCGCTAACAAAGTTCCGAAGTTAAAACAGTATATATAGAATAGCTCTGAACTACCACTCGGAGCGTTGGCCGCTCCCCGGGCTTAACACCTTGCCCGGCGGGAGATCTTCCCTTTTCCTTCCACCGGCTACAATAGAAATAATGATTGATTAATTCATTATTATTATCTCCTCTGCTGGATATGAATAATGCCTTTTCAGAGACCAACAAGCATACATTTTATACGTGGTAGAGTCATGCTTTAGCTAAATTAGTAGTATAGTTGTAGCACGAATGGGTCGGCTCGACCAGGGAAGAACCACGTTCTCGCAGAATACCAGCGTAAAATAGCAGCTTAACACTGCTGTTTCTTATGGTGAGTGTAGAGAACCGGAGACCCATCTTACTGGAATAAAGGCATTCCATCTTAGTTCTCACGGGTGACAATGCATCTACATTTTATTCTTTATTGAGGATAGATGTAAATGTATATGGGTCAAAGTAGCCACTTACTATCAGGTGGACTGTGTGATTTTTTGCCACCCTATCCTATAAAAACAACATAGCCTGAAAGCTTCCCCATACCCACCACGCTTGACAGGTGATTGGTTAGTGTAATTACTAAACAAGTTCTTCATCCCAAATGCATTTATGGATGTATATTCAGCGTAATTGTGTTAGAATGACCCACTAGATGGAGTGACGACCTGGTAAGATATGCAGGAAGTCGATGGATGCAGGTGGCTCAGGACCGTGCTTTGTGGCATTCTTTGGGGGAGGCCTATGTTCAGCAGTGGACTTGTGAAGGGCTGTGATGATGATGATGATGATGTGTTAGAAGTTTTTTTTAGTAATCAATGCATCGAGCATCGAGCGAGAATGTTGAGTCATAAGTCCAGGATTCCATTCAAGTCCAGTCCAGTCAAGTTAATCAGGTTAACCCTTTCGGACCGCTCCTGATCATAATTTGTGGTCACACTAACAACACCAATTTGTTAAGCAAAGATTTTCGTAGTTGAAGTCGACTGGATCATTAGATGAATTACCTTATACAATTATTTAAATACATTATTCTTTAATTTTAGGGCATGGACTACCCGCAGCAGAAAAGCACAGCATCAGCGGTGTCATGGTTTCCTAGAATAAGACGTTGGCCAGAATCTACGCATCGCATTATAGACCCTGTCGAAGGTAAATTGTAGTGGTTATCAGTAAATTTTAGAAAAATATTTAAATCTCTGTCGTAGATTTACATATTTATAAAGCGAAATTTTTGAAGTTTAATTATATGCAAGTATAATTTGGTTAAAAAGTATAAATTTGTTCAATTTTATAATTGAAAATTCATTAAATAAAATGTTCTTAGGTGACATCAGATCTACTTATATAATATATAAATTTCTTTCATGTTTCTTGCATAACTTAACTGGTTAACATTTTTTTATTTAAAAAACGTTAGCCCCACACTAGGATTTTCTCCTGTATCGTGAAAGCAGTTTACAAACACAGATTGCACGAGGACAAACATCCAGACCTGGAACAATTATTTGTAGGCCTTACAAATACATATTCCATGCGGGATTCGAACCCGCGGCCCCCAGCGCAACAACTCATTGCTAAGCCACTGCGTCACTGAGTCGTCTGTAAACACTGTAAATTGCTTGTTGTTAAGTTGAAATTATGTTTGTGTAAAACAGACATATCACATAAAAATACTTGCATACTGTAATATTATATGTATGTAATATTTTATATATATATATATATATATATATATATATATATATATATATATATATCATTTCATAAAGTAATATGCTTAGGCCTTTGAAAATAGTATCGCCATTATTGAAAAAGCAATATAATAATACTTACCAAAGGTCATTTGCCATTGCCATCACTCACAGATAGTGGATTGAAGTTAGATGTCTGTTAACGCATATCCAAATCCTGCTATATACCAGGATGACATCACCACAACAACACACACTACAATTCCTTTTAGAAGTTAGAGGAGGCCTATACCCAGCCGTGGGACGTATATAGACTGTAACTTTAAATACAATATCTTCATAGATGTTATAAAGGGTACAGCTGCTCATCAACGTTTTATATTTTAATATGGCCTCTTTTATAACGCCCAAGGGAAAAAAACAATCCAATGAATTTTCTAACACCACAACTACGAAGCAATTATTCAATAATAGGTAATAATTATATACGAAAAGGCGAAAAGTGGATTGCGGAGGCCCGTCCGGCTACGCTGAATGTATGTGAAGCAATGAATGATTAGATGGATGAAGTATGCGATATGATGTATGATAGAGGAATAGACGTGTTATGTGTGAACGAGACGAAACGAAAGGGAAGAGATGTCACTGCACATGGCATGTATACCGCTTACTGGTCTGGAGTAGACGAGACCGAGAGGGCATGCCAGGGAGTCGATGTCATCCTTTCAGAAAGAATGGGTCAATGTGTGAAAGAGTATGAATGTGTTAGCCCAAGGCTGCTATGGATACGAATGAAAGTGGGCTTAAAGAAGTTGTTTGTGCTAGGGGTGTACGCCCTGGTGTTGATAAAATGTAAGGAAAATGAAAATATTATTATGTTAGGAGATTTTAATGGAAGGGTTGGGGTGAAGAGGTCTGGTTATGAAAGGATATTAGGAACGTTTGGCGATGAAAAAATAAATGAGAATGGTGAAGACCTCCTCACCGTATGTGTGGAAAAGAATCTTTTTGTGGCGAACACTTTCTTTCGCCATAAGAGGATTCACATGTATACATGGGAAAGAGGGGATGATAGAAACATGATAGATTTTATAATTGTGGATGAAAGAATGAGGAGCGCAGTGGTAGATACAAGGGTTTACCGGGGGTCCAACGTACGGACGGATCATTACTTGGTCTTATGCCGAATTAATGGTCTATTCAGACGTTGGCGGCATCGGACATCTGTGTCTACCACTGCGTTACAGCGTATAAGAATAGAGAGGTTACAAGATGAAGGTGTGAAAGAGAAGTATAAATGCAGACTGAGGGAAAATATAAGTGGGTTGAATGAATTATGTATAAATGATTTAGAATTGAACAATGTATGGAATAATATTAAGAAAGTTTTGGTGGATGCAGCCACCGAAGTATGTGGTGTAAGTAAGAGAACGAATGAAAGGAAAAGTAATACGTTGTGGTGGGATGATGAGGTACGGAGGGAAGTTCAAGCAAAGAAGAGAGCATGGCTAGATTTACTAGCAACTAAAGCTGGTAATTCTGGCGGTATGAATGATGAGATTGAAAGAAAAAAGGCAGACTTTAGACGTATAAATAAGAGAGTAAAAGAAGTTGTTGAAAGGAAAAAGCAAGAAAGGATAGATAAAAATGACAGAAGGATATCTGATAACTTCCAGGAAAATATTAAAATGTTCTGGAAGCTCGTAAGAACTGCCAGGGGAAATTCAAAACAGCCTAGAATGAATGCTATACGAGACGAGAATGGCTGCATGTTGAATGATGAAGTTTCGAATTTAAAGAGATGGAAGGAATACTTTGAAAGCGTGTTTAAGAGTGAAGAGTCATCTGAAATAAGTGAAATAGAAATTCCGGAAGAAGTGGAGAGAGCTAGGAAGATAAGTATAGATGAAATAATGAAAGCAATGAAAAGAATGAAAGCAGGTAAGGCAGCCGGATATGATAGAGTATCCCTCGAAATGCTAAGGGCTGGTGAGGGTGTGGTTGCAGGCCTGCTGTACACCTTGTCTAATTTATCTTGGGAACTGAAGCGGGTACCGGAAGACTGGTGCAAAGCCGTTATAGTCCCATATATAAGGGAAGGGGGTCGCAGCAGGACTGTAAAAACTACCGTGGTATCAGCTTGCTTAGCATTGTGGGTAAACTGTATGCTAAGGTGTTAATTGAAAGAGTTATGGAAGAAACTGATGGAAAAATTTGGGATGTGCAAGCTGGATTTAGAAAGGGGATGGGGTGTACGGATCAAGTCTTTTCCATGCGCACGATAGCGGAGAAGTTTTTGGCCAAAAACCAGTAAGTTTTTTGTGCGTTCATGTACTTGGAAAAGGCTTATGACAGAGTGGACAGGAATGTGTTATGGCAAACACTGAACTCATTTGGGTTGAGCGCTGGCTTGATACAGGTATTAAGGTCTCTTTATAGAGACTCTAGTGCTTGTGTCAGGATCAACGGGGTCTACTCGGACTGGTTTGGCATTCATAAAGGTGTCAGACAGGGATGCGTGGCTTCCCTGTGGCTGTTTAACCTATTTATGGACAGTTGTTTGCAAACTTTGAAAGTTGAAGAATGTGGGTTGAGAATGGGTGAGTCAACCGTCAAATGCCTTTTGTACGCCGATGATCAAGTCATATTTGCATCGTCGGCGGCAGAGTTGCAAATGATGGTTACTTTAATTAATTGGTTATTGAAAGAAAGGGGTATGAAAGTGAACGCAAGTAAGACAAAAGTGATGGTTTTTGAAAGAGAAGAAAGTAAAACTTTATGTGAAATAAGAATAGAAGGGGAGTTGATTGAACAAGTGGATGAGTTTGTATATTTGGGATGTTTATTTAGCAGGGATGGTAGATATGATAAGGATATAGAACGACGAGTGAACGCAGGAAATAGAGTGAATGGGGCTCTACAGGCTATTATGAGGAGTCAGAATGTGTCAACTAAGGCACGTATGGCAATTCATAATGCTGTGTTAGTCCCTACTTTAATGTATGGTAGTGAAAGTTGGGTCTGGCAGAAGAAGCATGAGAGTAGAATAAATGCTGTAGAAATGCGTTCCTGAAGGAGTATGCTAGGGCTGAATCTGAATGACAGGGTGAGAAATAGTGTGATAAGAGAAAAGTGTGGCTTGCAAGATGACGTTGTGACAAGGATTAAGAAAGGAATGCTTCGGTGGTTTGGTCATGTAGAAAGAATGAACGAGGAAAGAGTGACAAAGCAAATTTATGTTGCAGAAGTGAACGGCAGGGTCGGGAAGGGACGCCCTAGACGAAAGTTTATCGACCAAATCGGCGACACATTAAAAATGGGCCAGATTAGGAGTACCCTTAACCGACGAGCGTGTATGCGTAGATATATGGATGTAAAAGAGGCGAGAGAGGTGTGTCAGGATCGCGCCAAATGGAAGTCCGTATTCTCTGCCTACCCCTCTGGGTGACAGGCGTGAGTGTTTATGTTTTATGTATGTTTAATTATATACATCATATTTCAGTTTTATTTAAGTTTTAAAGTTTTTCTTATATTGCTGTGAGATTGCTTTGAAAGGAGTTTAGATGTTGTAGAGCCATGATACAGCTAAATTATGGTTATAGCACGAATGGGTCGGGTCGACCGGGGAAAGACCACGCTCTCACTGGATACCAGCATAAAATAGCACTTTAATGCTGCTGTTTCGTATGGTGAGTATGAAGAGCTTGAGATACGTTTTACTTTAAAAGAGGAATTCCATCTTAGTCCTCCCGGGTGACAATGCATCTGCATTGGAATGCCTCGTTTCCAATAAAAATGGTCTCCAGTCCTCTACACTCACCATACGAAACACAGCCTTAGTCCTTCCCCGGTCGAGCCGACCCATTCGTGCTACGTTTATACTACTAATATAGCTGCAGCATGGCTCTACTACGTAAGTGTGTGCTCGTTTGTCACCCTAATTGTATAAAAAAATCGTTTTTTTTTTCTTTTTTTTACATAAACGTTACCCCACACTAGGATTTTTTCCTGTATCGTGGAGGCTATTTACAAACACAAATCGCACAAGGGCAAACATCCAGACCCGGAATAATTATTTGTAGGCCATATAAATACTTCTTCCGTGTGGGATTCGAACCCGCGGCCCCCAGCGCAGCAACTCACTGCGCCACGGAGCCATCGAAATCGTCTATAATCGGTTTCTCAGCGTCTGCCGCTACTCAGTGGAAGCTTCCAAATACAGTCTTCGCTAATGAGCAAGTTTACTAAGTTCTCCCTTCTCCCTTAGTCTTTCTAGTAGTTTTTATTAGTCGTGGATGGATAAATATTTTTATTTATTTATCCATAATTAAATCTTTCATGGTAGACATAATACTAATAGTATTCTCTATATTGAAGAACTTTCTAGAATATACCACCAAGTATGAATTCAGAGATTTGTCCATACTCAAAGTTAGGCAAAGTACAGTAATATTACTAGTTTAAAACTGATGTCCTTGTAGCATAACTCTGGTAATTCTGATTCCAAGAACCAGAATATAGGATCTAGGCTCGGCATTTTGCAGTGGATATACCAACGTTTCTCAATTCTCAAAGGTTCACTAACAACGTACATGACGAGCAGGTGAGGTTGGTACTTGGAGAATTTTAGCATTCATATTTCATTATTACACATTTTCTTTTGTTTCATAGATTGTTTTCTAGTAACATCAGAAGAAGGAGAACTATTTTACAAATCACCCTCAAACGAACCAACAGTATGTGGAATATACATGATTGCTGATCCCGACAAGAGAATCGTCGTTACTTTCAACTATCTGGATGTACCGTGCGAGAATGGAGGACTGGTTGCGGTAAATTTTAGAAATATTTCATTTTAGCTCTGCGTTCCTATATTTTCTGTACCTTTTTATATTCGATTTTTTTTTTGTTATTATAATTATGCATTAGATCTTTAACATTAATCAAAGGACAAACAAGCGAAACAACACAAGAAAGTCGTAGATTGAACTTACAAAAAGCATCGTAATCCTCTTTGATACAGTAAGCGTAGATAATTCATTGCTTTTTATCCTCTTTCCTTTATGTTTTGTCTACAGAGACATTAACTACTCAATATTGTTCTACATTCAGAGAATAAGTAATGAATCATTATTTGTCACAACGTAAATCATTGTGTTGATTGTAAAGATGTTTATTTTATTCGACTGTGTTTTTTTGTGTGTTACCTCATAACTTTTTAAGTCATACTTTGTAGTTTTTGAGTTATTGTTAATAATTTATATTGAAGTTGGCTGCACAAAATTTTAAATTTTAAATTATATAACTCCTAAACGTATGTTGCTACGGAAAAACAAATGAGCTGTTACTTATTTCTGAATTGTAATATTTACTGTGCCTGTGTTTAAAGTAAATAGCAAGCAAAAGCTTAAATATTATATTCAAGTGCAAGAAATAACTATCATATGGGCGATGGTACAGGAAAGAGTCCACTACACTGCTCCAATGCAGGATTGCTCACGACACGACGAACTATTTTTTCATCGCCGCGCACGTTATAAATAAGCACTTAGAATCAACTAGCGTTTATAAGCTGCACGCTCACACAGGCAAACATTGAAACGCAAAAAGTTTTATTAAAATTTTACAGTAAATTCTTTTATATAAACATTCCGATAAAGTGGACGTCAAAATTGATTTTCTATGTCAAGCGACGCGAAATATAAATAAAAAATAATTGTGCTTTAATTGTACAATTTCTTAGTGAGCGAGTAAATTAAATTTCGAATAGTTGCCTATTTGAACAGATTCTAAATACGGTCATCACAATAGTCCACTTAAATAAGGCCGTAAATCAAAATTTTCGCACTCAACTTTACATTTTCGATATAATGTAGTTTTGATGATACAAAAACAATGTGTAAAGGTTTTCGTGTGTGCAATCCATAGCAAGGGTTGAAACAAAATTATCAAAAGTGTTTTTTCGCAATTACTCAAAAACGGCAATTAGCCTGCCAAGCGTGTCTATTTCGGCAAATTTTTCTTATTTTAGTACATGACTTCCTTGCAGCAGTGTACGGTTACGTGCTAATAAAAAAAATAAGAAGAAATATTTCGATCTTAATGTACTCGTAACTAATTATACGACAATATAAGTTTATTTTACAGAGCAACTTTGCAGCTTCAATGTATATAGTGGTAGAGCCATGCTGCAGCTATATTATGGTTGTAGCACGAATGGGTCGGCTCGACCGGGGAAGGACCACGCTCTCACAGAATACCAGCGTAAAATAGCAGCTTAACGCTGCTGTGTTTCGTATGGTGAGTGTAGAGAACCGGAGACCCTTTTTACTGGAGACAAAGCATCTGAATTTTGATTCGTAATCGAAGATAGATGTAGATGTCTATGGGTCACAGCAACCACTTACCATCAGGTGGACTGTGTGCTCGTTTGTCACCCTTATCCTATATAAAAATAGTAAATATACAAAAAAAAAACTAAAAAAGGCTATATTTTATAATCACCTATATATTTTAAATTTTTTTTACAATTAGTTGATTATCTATAATAGCTTTTTATAAGTAAACATTTGGAAACAGATTTCTTTGACACTTAAATGAAAATAATAAAATACTTTTTCTATAAGTTAAAAAAAAAAACGAAACTAAATTAAGTGTTTTCTTTCAGTGGGTCGACGGATGGGAACTTAACGGTCAAGTATGGCCGTCTGATGCTTGGGATGATGAGCGGCTTGTCGAATCCTGTGATCAGCGACCCAAACATAAGCTGACGTCCAGACAGAACGCTGCACTTATACAATACAGAGTGCCAGCCCGGGGAAAAGGATTCGGTGTCAATATAAGACACGTGAAGAATTCTAAACGTAAATTTAGCTTTTACATAATGAAATATTTTCAAAAATTATGACTGATGCTCTTATTTTTGAAGCCTATATGTTTAATATATGTATGTATATAAACGTACCGTGTAGTGGCCGTGGATATATATCCACCAGACCTCATCATTCCGTAGGTGTCGTGAGAGACGACAAAGTGAAACAAATCAGACGATGAATCTTCCTAATAATCACTATAAATAAATAAAATCAGCGGTTCCTAACCTTCCAGCCAAACGTAGCAATTATGGCAAATATCCCCATTAGGAGGGAATCTATGCGGTGATCTATGTTCTGTAGTGGACTTTGATTGGCTGTAGTGATGATGATGATATAAAAAGAATAAAATTTATATATTACGTAGTTAATTATCTTTTTTATTTTGTTTTTCTTTCTAAACTGCTACACCTACGTCAAATTCTCACCACTCTATGGGTTAACTGGTAGAGAATGCCTCAAGGCATTAAATCCGCCCTTTGTATTCATTTATATTAAAGAATGCCATAAAGAATACATAAAGGAACAGAAAACGTTAAATAATGCAGCAGTTGTTCAAAAATCATTATAATTAGATATTTACTATTGTGCGTTTGCCTTACACACTACTTTTTACAGCATGCAATTTGATGGTATTTGGCGCCGAGGGTGTCCATACTCTGCGGAATCATGGCGAAACTGGAAATTGTTCAATTATAACAATATCACCCTCAACCGTGCGGATATTGGATCTCGACGTCGGACAGTCAATGAAAAAAGGACTGTTGAGCCTTGAGACTGGGACCATACATCACGTAAGTTGATTCCTTCCGCAATTTTACGTTCAATCTAATTTATATACAAATTTATATACATCCGTCCCAGAATATAATTTTTTAACAACTTAATAATTATAATAACAATATCTTTCACACCTTTGCATTTACTCGGCGTTTTGCGTTATTGACTATTTCTATACAGGTGGTTACAGTAGCGGTGTAAGAATATTCTCTACCCTATATCGCCTCGTGAGTCTCCTAAAAGGTGACAAAGGGAAACAAAACATAACTTAATAACAACTAAAAAAATCGGCAGTTGTCAACCCGCCTGCCCAGAGTAGCAACTATGGCAAATATCCACTCAATGAGGGACGCCTGTGTTCAGCAGAAACTTGTAAATAAAATAACATCAAGAAATAGGCATATGAGAAAAAATTCTAGCGAAAATTATAATAATAGACAATTCAATTTTCGAATTACCACACACGCACCAACTTTGTCTTATATCTACTGAAAGACTAATTTATATACGTGGTAGAGCCATGCTGCAGCTATATTAGTAGTATAGTTGTAGCACGAATGGGTCGGCCGTTGAACGGCTCGACCGGGGAAGGACCACGCTCTCAATGAATACCAGCGTAAAATGGCAGCTTGACACTGCTGTGTTTCGTATGGTGAATGTAGAGAACCGGAGACCCATTTTACCAGAAAAGAGGCATTCCATCTTAGTCCTCACGGGTGACGACGCATTTGCATTTTGATTCTTTATTGAGGATAAATGTAGATGTCTATGGGTAACCACTTAACATCAGGTGGACTGTGTGCTCGTTTGTCACCCTTATTCTATAAAAAAAAAGATTTTATAAAATTTTTGATATTGTGATTTCAAACTCGACACTGTCTCTAAATACTGGCCCAGTATTATTGTGCAAGTATGCTTTGCTATGCAAGCCGTGTAATGGAGGTCCAAGAATATTCACCATACCGTAAGTGTCGTAGGAGGTGATAGAGGGTAACCGACCCAGAACATGCGCGGCAGCACCTTCCGGACAACTGCTGAATAAAAATAGAAAACCGCGGTGGCCAATCCGCTGTCCAAGCGTGGCAACTGTGGTAAATATCCTATGAGGCCATCTATGGGGGAGACCTATGTTCAGTAGTGGACTTTTGATAGACTGTAATCGTAAGTATGCTTAGCTTGCACTTTTCCAGTTTTTTTTAATTAGACTCTTCTCTTCTCTTCGCGGTATAGTGGCTGTTTTAGGAAATTCACTGCCCCATATAATCCTTTATAAGGCGTCAGAAGGAATCTGAAACTAGATATGGGTAGTAGCATCTTCCTGAAAATAGCTCAAAGTAATAATAAGAAAACTGTTAGTAACTTTGGTAAATATCCCTACGTGGTATCAAATGGGGGAGGTCTATGCTTCAGCAGTGGATTTTGATAGACTTTTTTTTTATTATGAAACAAAGTATACCTATCGATTATGGAAACAAAGTATACCTATTTAATGCACTGGTTCACAACCAACTTGATTTGATTCGCATCGGTGGCCTGGAGTCTACAGTACATTACGTACGACAGCGCATGAGTATACAACTCTTAGTCGTCTTATACTTCTTATTGACCTCCGTCGGTAACACTTCAAAATACGTTTTTTTTTTAATAAAATAAGGGTGACAAAAGAGCATACAGTCCACCTGATGGTATGTGAATGCTATGGCCCATAGATATCTACATTTATCCTCACTTATCACTTTCACTGTCCAGTTTTCAGACATAATAGTAAGACAATAGCAATGACCTATATGTAGAGCACGGGAAAGCGAAAGGGTTAAGAATCCTTGGATATTTGTCCTTGTGCAATTTATGTTTGTATACTGTCTCCACGGTATAGGAGAAAATCCTAGTGTGGGTATAACGTTTTTGTTCTTTTTTAAAGTTTGAAATAAATTATTTCTCCGTCGCTAATGGGGGAGTCAGCGCACACGGTGATACGGCGTGCGACTCCATCGCTGTCTAAGCTAGACTGATAGCTATTAAACACACGTTCAGTTTTTAATCAGTCTGACCAGACTGACAAAAATTATGAAATTTTTTAAATAACCATCATTCTGGACTGTCAATCTATCACGTCATCAATCATGGATTGAACTGACGCCAGAATGAGCGTGTAATCTCCGTCTAACTGGCACACATACTCGTATCAGAATATTTAAGATTAAATTATTAAGCCATGTAACAGTGTCTTATATGTGTATGTAATGCTGTTGGAGTATCATAATAAATAATTAAATAAATATTTATAAATAAGTAAAATAGCTATTTTTGCAACATAATATTCCCCTTATGTGATGCAGGCTTATAATATGTTTAATTAATCTTGTTAATTGATAATTGCGTAAGTAACGCGGTAGTCAATTAACGAATTTTACGATATAAATTCTCGTTGATGATTATAAAAATGTATCTTTGGAAGTTTATACATATTTTATATATAATAGATACATTTATATAATTTTTTCTAAACCTTTTTTTAATAAGATTTTAAAAAAATTAAAAATTTAAGACCCTTTTTACTGGCAAAGAGGCATTCCATCTTAGTCCTCACGGGTGACAACGCATCTGCATCTTGAGTCTTTATTGAGGATAGATATAGATATCTATGGGTCAAAGCAAACACTTACCATCAGGTGTACTGTGTGCTCGTTTGTCACCATATCCTATAAAAAAAACTTAACACAAAATATTTGCTTAGATATAATGCGTACAGTAAAGAAAAGGAACAGTTTTCCAGCATCTATTTCTAGTTTATCTTTCCATCCGATTACTATGTGGAAGTTTTGGAAGGAAGCAGTGAATGAGGTTTTGCTAAGTTGAGTAAGTGCCCATTACTACAATCGGCTAAATCACCAGTTATTATCAAATGGGATAGGTTTTAAGCACTAACTTAGAATATTTAAACAAAATATAGAAGTCGAAATACATACATTAATAAATATAAGCGGCGTATAAATATCTACCACCTAATTTCGTCGCGTGTATGTCGTAAGAGGGTTTTTTTAAACTTAAGAGATAAATTAACTTATCGTCCGCCTGATTGAAAGTGGCTACTATTATTATATATTATATACTGATATTTGCAGCCAAATGAGACAAACAAGAAGAAAAATACCATGTCAGCTCTGAGAACTACGTTCCATCTTAGTTTAGTTTAGTAAGCTTTTGTTACGTGGAATATTATGTTTAGATGCTACTTTAAAAACTAAACTTGTAAATACAATTAGTGTATATTTCATTTCATAAACTCTATTGAAACAACAAAAACTGGAAACAAGTAACAGAAAACTGTAAGCTGTGAACAAAACAGTTAAAAAAAAGTTAACGGGTCAAAATATGTACGGAATCCTAATAGGGCAAGGTCCGACTTGCGTTTGGCCCGTTTTTAATGCTTTGGTTATTTCAATCAAAATATAAATGTGACCTTTGGATTTGAATTATAATGCTCCAGACCTATTCAATTAGTTTCCACTCGATTGAATTAGCGAAACTAACGACATATCAAGTTCGACCAATCGAAAGGCTGTAGGATAAAATATTTACTATTACCGTGTATTTTCATTAAATATTTATTCCTTAACTAGCTTTTATCCATCACTTCGTCCATGAATAACCAAACCAAAACTACTGCAGGTACTTGGATAAAAAGTTCAAATCGAAAAAAAAAAATCGAAGAAAGACCATACAAAAAATATATCGGAGAATGTTCAATTGAAGATCTATTAATTTCACGTAAAAAAGGGCCTGATCGCCTCATCTTTTTATTGTAAAATGGTGTTGAATTAAAATAATTAAAAATTAAAAAAATTGTACAGCTGACTTCAATATATAACTCAATAACTATTGGTCTGACCTTGATCAAATTCATATGGGACCACACGAGAAGTATCAGCTTTCAAATAAAAAAGAATCATCGAAATTGGTTCACCCAGTAAAAAGTTATGAGGTAACACACATAAAAAAATACAGTCGAATTGAGTACCGTCTCCTTTTTGGAAGTCGGCAGAAAATGTTAAAAATCGATTTTGAATCAAAACTAGAAGAAACAAGAGAAGATCTCTTTGTGTCAAAGAAAAACTTTTATTCTATACTAATATTATTTTCTAATAGTTTATGATTACAATACAATACATTACTACTTTATTTCAGGCATCAAGGACTTAAAAATTAAGATTATTAGCCCATAGCGATATATAACTCATAAACATAAATATTACTTTTCACTATTTAGAGAACTATCTTCTTTGGCGCGTCTCTTTATCGGCGACACACTACCCCAAAGGGCCAGAAATCTGGAGCAAGGAATATCTCTTTATATTTTGCAGGATTCTGGAGTACATAGGATTTAAAGTTTGTTGACCTGTTAGACTCCCGGTCGCTGCAAATGTAATGAAATTGGCTTCTCTATGCGGCATCGGCTTCGTTCTTCTACGAAACGCAGGAAGTCTTCCCTCGAGGTACTTTTGTCCAAACGGGAGATGTAGAGCTGTATGCTGGGCTCTACAACACGCAGAGTTTCTACATACGCTTTTCAACCAACATCTCTTCTTAACCAAAGTAAACCTTTCACTATCGATCCTGTTTCGGGTCACCACGGGAACTGATTTGTATCCACATTCTTTCGTTTTCAACAAGAGGGTGCCGTATGTGAAGATTTTTGAAAAACATCAGCAAACGTCTTCCCTTGTCGTGAGGTCGGCGTCGGCAGAGGAGCACTCATGGGTTCAGTCAAGTGCTGAGGTGGTGATGCAAGGACGACCAAGGTCGTCCAAGTTTTACAGTCGACAACCCGCTGACAGAAGGTATCAGGTGACGGAACCGCAATCATCGGTGAAATAATATAGCTACTATAACGATTACCGCGTCTCATATTTACATTCTGCGACGGCAGTAAATTTGCAGATGTTGCAATTATGTTGCGCAACATAGTGACTTCCTTCCTCAGCTCTGTTGCGGCTCGTTCAGATTTTTCAAG